GGGTACGCAACCTGTGGCCGCTGGGCAAGCACAGCATCATGTGCCACTCCCCTTCGTCATTCTCCATCTGGAGGCTCCAGAACCTGTACAGGCTGTTTAATGGGATGGGATACAGCTCCTGAGGCGGGTCGAGAGCAGTCAGGGCCGGGCACAGCTCCTGGCTGTGTCGCAGGATAGTATCGCCAGATTGATCTCTCTGCCAGCGGGGAGTTGCTACTTCTCTCCTGGCCCCTTCCTCCTCCTGGACCAGGCCCTGGGGTTTGCCTACAACCCTGGTCAGAAGGAACTGTTTGTGGCCAGTGGTAGTCCAGAGGTCCTTGCGATAGACATGGCTGTGTGCCCTTGCACAGCTAGGCGGATCATCCGGACCTCCAGGGACCAGGACCTGGATGACAGTGTGATGTGCCTGGAGGCGGTGATGGTGGGTGGGGTGGAGTGGGCCGGGGTCAGCGCCCTACCCTGCCTGGTGTTCAGAACTGCACATAGGTCCTGCTCAGCATGTTCGAGACCTACGACATCCCTCCAGAGATCATAAATAACCTCACCTTCTGCCTCCTGAAACATATCCAGAAGGGGAACCCCCACTGGAATCGCCTGGGGGCCATGAAGAACCTGGATCAGCTAGATCACTTCCAGGACAAGTACCTGTACTTGCTGGCGGAGGTTCTCCTAGACCCAGCGATGGACCTGCGGAAGATGGCCAAGTACATCCTGAGCCAGGTCTACGGCATTGAGAACAAGATCAGCCTGCTGAATAGAATGCAGGCCAATGAAGACGTATCCAAGAAGTGAGTAGTGTTCAAATCAAAGGAACTAAGGGTGATTGACATTTCCGTAAAAAAATCTGTCACAAATCAACCACTTTTGTTAGCAAGAGTCTTATTTATTTATTATTTGTTTATGTATTTCCCCTCCCAACCCCTTCTCACAACTACAGGCTCCATAAACAGCTGGATAGAAAACTGTGTTGATGATCTGGAGCACAAAAGATCTACAGATGCTCCCACCAAACCCATCGGCAGAAGGCTGTCCAGGCGATATGTACACAGGGACTCCAGTACAGTTTGCTTTGTTTCCCAGAGTAGTGTCATTTTGATACTAATCATTTGGGTTATACCGCCCTTTTCTTCTCTCTCTTCTCAGGGCCCTTCTTGGAGTTCAAAGGACAGGCACTTCAAGCCCAGAGCAAGGTACAATTTGTGTCATAATCAGTGCATTTGTTTAATTGCATATATTATTGTCAACACGTTACTTCCAGTGCACAATGGCAATGTTCATCATTTTACATGATGGCGTTGTACTGTATTACAAACATACACTATTATTTTCAAACTAGTTCCTCAATGAAAGCATCATCTGTTGACATGATGTGATCATTGGATACACTTGATATTGTGAATGCCAATCTGTAAAAACAACCTAGCATTGATGCCATTCTGTTTTGGGTCTTTTTGCTATGTAATATTACTAGCAAATGACCAGTCCCTTTCAAAGTAGTGACTGACTGGTTCCCAAGCGTCATTGGTCTTCTCTTCTTGTACCCAGTGCGCTTAGCTACCACTCTCATCCCTCAGTACCCAATCAGACCTCTGCTCTCCAGGGCAGTATTGCTGGTGCTAACTAAACAGGCAGCGTCTGCCAATGGAAAACTTCTGATTTTAATCAGGGCGAGGCAAATGCTGATTTTCTGCCCTAATTAGTAATCGCCGTGTTTAATGGAGAGAAACCCTGGAAGTCTTTAGATGCGGTGGGTGATGGTGTGGCAAGACACGATTCATCAAATAATTGTTTATTTTCGTATATTTATTTAATATATTATTTTTTAGCTCAATCATTATCAGTCTCTCCCCTATTTCTTCCTTTCGCTCTCCTCTCTTTTTTCTATTTTACTGTCTATTTCTGTCTCTCGCTCTCTGTAAATAGATCACATGTGGACTCCTGACCTCCCTCTTATGAGGGTAAGGCGGAGGGGAACCCCAACTGAAGGGAGAGCCTGTACAAGCTTGAATCCCAATATGGCTTCCGCTCCCCAAGGGCCAGACCGACCGCTCTTGGCCCTCTGGATGTCCCGGGGGCTGCCCATTGCTACCCCTGCACCCTGTCCCCTCTTCAGACCAGGAAGGCCAGCCAGGTGTCCCTGGGCCAGAGGGTGGTGCGGAAGATCCAGTTGAGGGAGTCGTCGTTGGAGAAGCCCCCCTCCCAGTTCCACCATGGGCTGCCCCTTCCCTGGCAGCTCAACAGCCACACCATGGACCCCTCTGGAGAGAGCATGTATGGGAGGCTAGAGGTGGACTGGGTGAGGGAGCCAATGGAGCCCCAGAGAGGGAAGGTGCAGAAAGTGAAGCTTCCCCGATAATGTCTAAGTGTCATCCATCCTAACCACCAGGGGACAGTGTGGTGCTAAGGTTCCATTTAGGCAGTGTTATGTTGTATTGTCTCCAGATATCTGCTTGATAAACATCTACCAAATTGTGATGGAATTGTAACGCATTAAGCTTGTTGTTGTAAATTGCAATAAAATGCAGCTGTATACTTTCCTAGAGAGTATGTTGTGTGATAATTGGAGACACACACACACATGCATGGTCTAGCACACAAACACATGCACACATGACATACACAGGCTACACAGTTTTATACACATCAAAAACTATTTAAATCCACTGATCCACAAAGCATCAGCCTAATGACCTAGGCTACTTGACAATTACCAGTATAGGCTGTTAAGCAATGCCTTGACTTTAAAGCGATACCCATAAAAATAAGTCATAGATAGATAGATAAATAGATATACCATTTTAAATCCCTGATTTGTTATAATTAAAATGAAGCAAAAGTTAATTTGGTCATCCAAGCTATGTCCAAATGATGAGATATTAAGGCATATGTGGATGTAGGCTACTCAAGAAACTACACTACCCAGAATACAACGGCGTATTCCACCCCCAGTCCAGCCGGTGTATTTGGATACAAAGTCAGCCTAGAGACTGACAGCTCGTCCTAGAAATGGCACGTCTTTTGGAGAAAAAAGCTATTTGATTGTGAAAGACAACTGGCCAACCGACTGACCCAGATGAGCAAGGACTCCAAGCCTATTCATTTTGTGGAATTGGATTATGGAATCTGATGGTGGATATTTGGATGCGATCACACGCCCATGCGACAATGTCAATGGATGTTGTGATGCACAGTGGCCAGGCTTTTTATCCGTAAATATTTGATTTTTCACATTTGGTTTATTTAACCAGAAGACAAGACGCAATGTACACATAAAGAGTGGATTCTATTTCAATGTTGCACTAAAAGGGAGGATTATGATTTTATTAGGCCTGTTACATTACTATTATTATTATTGTTATTATTATTGCCTCGAGGATGGTGCATCTGTCTATCATAGCCAAAGAAAACACGTTACGGTAGAGGATTAATCGCCTCATTTTTATCACGTCAACTCGGATCAGAGATACACAAATATTTGCAATTGGAATTACAGCCAAATGCCTTGACAAAACCCATAATGTATTATTATTGTAGGCTATTTCGTTCTCTAACCTAGCGTGTGATTCCTTAAGAGCTAGCAGGTGCGGGACCTTTGCTCACAAATAACTTAAATGTACAACATTGTATCCATATAACTAGACAAGGCTATTGCTTATGATTACAAATGTATCAGATGTTATGAATGAGCATCGTTTTATAGCCTACAAAATGAACGTTAGATAATAATGGATAAAACAGACCGTTCTGTACCCATGGTATATCTCTGTCGCGAGGACTCGCGCATTCGTGAATGCTCACTGTATGGCGTTTATTGAAACATTACAGTGCGCAGAACGTAGGTCGGACAATGTAACGACGAACGATCAATAATTGAAGTTCGCTGACTACAAAGACGCAAAATGTATAGTCACTCAATTGTGTTTGCCTGAATGCTGTCTGCGGTAATTCCTCATCTAAAAATGGAGGACTAGGCTATTTAAGGACATTAAACTGGCTTACACGTTTATCGATGTAGTCCTACAGGATTTAGACGAGGCAGCAGCAAAGTAAGGAAATATTTCAATTGATATTTCAACAAAATACGAGGTCAAGACAAATTGCAGTATTTCATCGCATTCAAAAAGCAAATGACCCTGTAATGACGAGATGTTAGACAAGCGATATTCTTCTGCGCTGTGCTTGGTTGGAAATAACAACGATCCTTGTTCAGAGGATGTTAAACTATACAGATTAAACTATTTTGTGTTTTGTTACATGTGGTGCAATTGATCTATAAATAGCCTATTTAGATGCGCAATCTCCTTTAATTGTCGTGTAGCTTCATCACTGCCTCTTTAAATCTCTGTGTCAGGATCTGTTCTCAATGAGGCGAAATGAAGTGCAGCGTTGGCCATGTATTATTCATCAGGGCAAGAATTAAAGGAACTACAAATGGTAAGACACCATAATAAACTCAACTTTTGTGCTCCACTCAGACCATCCAGCTCAAGGGAGACAGTAAATAAAATCAGTAGTCTAATATGAAATAGCAATAGATGCTTTGAGGATCATAAGCCCCCCACAGAGATACAGTAGTGGGATGTTACAGAGACCCGTGTTCAGATCCTGACCATGCTCTCCTGAGCAGCACAAAGCAATCCCATCCACAAGGACCTCATCTCACAGTACTGAAGAGGGAACACATGGTCTACTTCTGTTAGCTTTCTAGAACATACATTGGAGAATAATCAGTAGCCTCTCTCGGGGAAAGCCATGGATCTGCCCTGAGTGCTTTTCCCCTTTAGAAACACACCCCAGAGTGAACTTGTAGGAATACATGTTAAATACACACTGCATTATACATGGTAATACAGACTGCTACACACACATTATTGGTGACAGGAACTGGAACTAGCCCAGTAGAAGGGGAAAGTGATGGGACAGTGGAGCTTTGGCCTGCCTGTCCACTGATCTGTCTCTCCTCTGGTTAAGGAGGCCTGGATTCGGCTGATGGGCCCTGCATGGATTTTGTGCGTGAGTTGACAGAGGGCAGGCCCACATCGCTGACCAGCAGCCGGGAAGCCATGGACCCGTGTGCCAGAGCGAGCAGCACAGCAGCCCCCCTGCCCTGCACCAGCTGTGGGGGCTGCTGCGACCCTCCTCCCCCTGGCCTCGTGCTCGCTGGTCCCCTTGGCCCCCCTTATGGCCCCCCTCTCTCCTCCATGCCCCCACACATGACCCCTGCTCCCCCGGTGTGTGCTGCTACAGCTGTCCAGGCTGAGAATGGCAGCAGCTGGAACTCCTCCTCTGGTTCTTCAGACTCCCACCCCGGCCACCAGGGCGGCTCTACCACCTCCATACCCTACTGGACGGCCGTTTTTGACTACGAGGCCACGGCAGACGAGGAGCTGACCCTGCGGCGCGGGGACCTCCTGGAGGTCCTCTCCAAGGACTCCAAAGTGTCCGGGGACGAGGGCTGGTGGACGGGCAAGATCCAAGACAAGGTGGGCATCTTCCCATGCAACTACGTTACTCGGAGGGACGCGGGCAGCTACCCGCAGCTAACCCCAGGAGGGCTGGTGGCGGGTGGGGTGCCTGAGGGGTGCCCCCTGGAGATCGACTTCACGGAGCTGGTGCTGGAGGAGGTGATCGGGGCGGGGGGGTTTGGGAAGGTGTATAGGGGCATGTGGCAAGGGGAGGAGGTGGCAGTTAAAGCTGCCAGGCAGGACCCTGACGAGGACATTAGCGCCACAGCTGAAAGCGTACGACAAGAGGCCAGACTTTTCTGGATGCTCAGACACCCCAACATCATCAACCTGATAGGGGTGTGCCTGCGAGAGCCCAACCTCTGCCTGGTGATGGAGTATGCCCGCGGGGGGGCCCTGAACAGAGCCCTAGCTGGGAAGAAGGTGCCCCCCAGGGTGCTGGTGAACTGGGCCGTGCAGATCGCCACAGGGATGGACTACCTGCACAATCAGACCTTTGTACCGGTTATACACAGAGACCTCAAGTCCAGCAACAGTGAGTATACCAACACTCGCCTCCCACTCCACTCATACCACAGTTTGTGTACAGCTGTCTCAAATATTTAATTTCTGACCCATTCGCTCCAAATTAGTCCTTGACTATTTCATGTAAAATATAAAACATTTGGGGGCAAATCACACTCAGAATGGGAATACGTTAATTCTTTCCTTTGGTTTGTTTGCATGTTGAATCAGCCATGCATACACACTTAATTGCCACAAAGGCCGGAGACAGACTGTATTCATGCCTATTTTAGTCACAGTCTCCAGTTAAGGGCAGTATAGTATATGAAATTCATTTAACAGAGGATGGATGAGCGGACACTTACAGAATGTACAGTACAGTACGTACTGTTAACCCTTGTGTTGATGGGTTCATTTAAGTAATGTGTGGATGAAATGAAATAGAGAGGTTTTCTGTTTGACACAGACAGTTGAGTTGAGCCTTACAGGGTAAGATCAGACCTGGAGAGCTGTCTCTCTCTGCAATCTTTCCCCTGTCATTTCTCTCCTCCTCCTCCGATCCTCTCCTCTCATCCTCCTCTTTCTACCACCCCTCCTCAAGGAGAGCAGTTCTGCTCTGCAACTCGCCAAGCTATTTTTGGTCCTTTGTGCTACTTGCTGTTTTAAAGACACAGTTGCAGTTGTTGGTGTGTTGGGGGGAAATACACTGTGTGTGTTTGTGTGTGTGCGTGGGTCTGTCTCTGTGTGTGTGTGACGTGAGCATGGGGGATGGGGTGTAGAGATACGAGTTGAGGCTACAGGATGCTGAGCACAGGGCTTTTTGAAGGAGAGCGACAATCTGGAGTATATGTAGCTTAAAAACACCCTGCTCACAGATCTTCCAAAATGTTCCTAATCTCTCCCTGGTTTGTGAAGCTGTGATGTAGAGAGAGCCGCCATATAAAAAGCTGCCCCTCCCTCAGTAACCGTAACGATAGGGATCAGATGGGAATTGGACGGTGAAGCCTTGGCAACAACGCAGAGCTGCCTTCACGACACTGGGCTGTGTCGAGTCATCGAGCTGTCAGCCTCTGCGCAAATGTCAATTCTTTCACTTTGACATCATCTTTTCACACGGAAGAATTCTAAGGAGTGTCTCAGTCTGCCAAGCCGTCTTCTTTCTCTGTGGCCCATTTGAAAACGATAAAGTATTCAAGTATGTGATCAGACGACGACTTAAAGATGAACGTTTACATTACCCCGGTGAAGCCCGGAGGGAGAGAGAGATGAAGAGATGAGAAAGGAAAGGAAGAGACAGCGAGAAGGAAGGAAGCGAAAGAGATGGTGAGAGAGGAAAGGTTACAAAGATAAGGGAGGAAAAAGAGGGACAGAGGGAGACGAAAGATAGAGAAATAGAAGGTGAGAGAGATTGGGGAGGTAGAAGGAGAGAGAGCGAGAGAGAGAGAGAGGGGGATAAACAGTGGTTCATCTTAGTTTAGGGTTACACCTCAGCTCATTGTTCAGGTGTACAGGTCTCAGATATCCTCTTCAAACCGCCGCCCGTTTGGCATCACTGCGGTTACGGAGAAGCTTCTCCTCTTTATCTTCCCCGCCACCCTGGCTGGTCCGCCAACCTCTCCTCTACACACTCACTGTATTTGTAGTGTGTGTGTGTGTGTTTCTGCCTTTCTCTCTGTGTTGTTGTTTGCCAGGCTGAGGCTAGAGTAGTGAGTCTGACTGTGTAACCAGGATAATCTGATTACGGTGACCTCCTTAGAGTGATGTGACAGCAGTGTTTGTGGGTTGGCAGGTCACTGTCCCGTGGTCCCTTTAGCTGTACCTGTCACACTGATCCAGAATCAGCCCACTCTCTCAGTGGTGCCCAATCCTCCTTGGGCCATATTATTCAGGGCAAGCAAAATCTAAATAAATATGAATATAAGTGTTATAACAGTTTATAAGCACATACAGTAGGCTGACTCAGAGAAGCCCTAAGAATATGGTCATGTGAACAATCACGTCATTAACAACACAATTCTCAAAAACATGGCCCTAGTTGATAGCCATTCAATTAAAAACATTATTGATCAGGTGATTTGACCAAGATGAAATCCAACTTGCCCTAGATAATGGGTCTTCAGAAAGCGGTCTTGGAAACTCTACCCTGTGATGGCTAACGTGTCTGCAGCCACTGCATTGAGTTGAACGGTATATTGGCATGACTCAGCATCAGGTAACAAAATACTGTACCACTGATCACCTGGCTACTGTAACACACATAGAAATATAATCTATAGAACAGACCTCCCCATTCAAGTCAATGATGGTATAATGGGTGGACTGGCAGCCAGTGTACCCATGAGTTTACCAGTCAAATTGCCAGGGTTAGAGGTTCTAAGCCCTTTCTATAGATTCTGTTTCTATGGACACACACCGGTCAGATAGACCCTTCTATACTGCAGAGTTAGGTGCGTTATATAACCTACATGACTGTTTCCCCATAGTCTTACTGTATATGGTTGCTTCTGTCCCATGACCCAGTTTCCTGCACAACCACTGATAGGTGAAAGGACTGGATAGATACCCATCTCTGAGGATTCACCTATCAAGTCCTTTTATAGATGAGTCGATATGAAGGAAAAGAACCAAGGAAAGCAACCAAGGGAATTCCATTAAAAACCAAGTTTGTAGCCACTGTTGGGAGTTTTTGTGAAAGCTGTTTGAGCATTAAGATACTGAACAAGAGGCTATTATACTGTATATAGGCATCATAAAGATGGGGTGGGTGGTTGACATTACCTGGTGCTGTTTTGAGTGCTGTCACTTCAAATGGAAAGCGAGTTGACGCGTTCAACAGTCACCTGAATAGTGGGGCCTTGTGTCTGCAAGCTGGCCTGTCCAGTCTTTAATAGTTTTTTCCTCCACTGGATAATTCAGCATTTATTACAGGAGCTAGTAACTTGGATATTACTCGGTTAGATGGTGTGAGTTGGACTGAAATATTGAGTATCATCATCTTAAATTTAGGTATCCTTCAATTATGATATGAATACCCTACCTTACACAGAAAGCGGCACAGGTCCTAATCCAGGCACTTGTCATCTCCCGTCTGGATTACTACAACTTGCTGTTGACTGGGCTCCCTGCCTGTGCCATTAAACCCCTACAACTTATCCAGAACGCTGCAGCCCGTCTGGTGTTCGACCTTCCCAAGTTCTCTCATGTCACCCCGCTCCTCCGCACACTCCACTGTCTTCCAGTTGAGGCTCGCATCTACTACAAGACCATGGTGCTTGCCTACGGAGCTGTGAGGGGAACGGCACCTCCTTACCTTCAGGCTCTGATCAGACCCTACACCCAAACGAGGGCATTACGTTCATCCACCTCTGGCCTGCTAGCTCCCCTACCTCTACGGAAGCACAGTTCCCGCTCAGCCCAGTCAAAGCTATTTGCTGCTCTGGCACCCCAATGGTGGAACAAGCTCCCCCACGATGCCAGGACAGCGGAGTCACTGACCACCTTCCGGAGACACTTGAAACCCTACCTCTTTAAGGAATACCTGGAATAGTGTAAAGCAATCCTTCTACACCCCCCCCCCCCCACCCCCCCATAAAAAAATAAAAAAAATAAAAAAGTGGTTGTCCCACTGGCTATCATAAGTTGAATGCACCAATTTGTAAGTCGCTCTGGATAAAAGCGTCTGCTAAATGATGTAAATGTAAATGTAATACATGCTCCATAATTGCTACTTATCGGATTAGTGCATAGCATGCCACTGAAAAGCGTTTGAATGTGTGTCTGTTTAGAAAAGGATTAGCGTTATGGCTAGCAGTAGCTACTAATCCCTATCAGAGATAAAGTAGCCTAGCTGACGGTCGGTGGATAACTGGGCTGGACTTCCTGAGTAGCCTGTCTTTCTGGCTTCTCTCCCACACACAGAAAAGGGATGTTGCAGCTAGAAGAGCCATCACAGATTGAATTGATTCCTCATCATGGCAGGAGTAGGAAAATACTGGCCAGCACTAGAACACCTGATTCAATCAATGAATTAATCTCTCAAGGGCCCTGTTCGAATGCTTTCAAAATGCATCCTCCCCTCCTCCTTGAATGTATCACTGAGAGTAGTATGTTTGTGCATGCATGTCTTTATATGTGCATGTGTTACATGCATGTGTATGTGTGCGCAATTGCATATACTGTGTCTGTATGTGTGTGTGTGTCTATGGAGGTGGGACAGAGGGACACGGTGGTGCTCGCTAGCTAGGGCAGGGAACACTCACTGGGAGTGCAGCAACAATGACCCCATTCTCACACAACAAGCCAAGACAAGAGCTGGGCTCACAATGACAGGAGTCACTGAGGGGGAGGGGGCGCAGAGAGGACGGACGACACAGAGATGGAGGGAGTGAGGTCGACTGTAGACCTTGAATGACAGGATGGAGGGATGGATGATAGAGAAAAGGAGAAGGAATGTGCTTTCTGTAGAAAGGCCCTGCGGGCTAGGTTGGTGGAGGGAGGGAGGGAGGGAGGGAGAAAGTGGTGGGGATGGGGTCAGTTGGAGACGCGGTCAGTGTTCTACAGAATCAACGTCATACAGTTCCTCTAGTACCCCTCATTATACTCCACACATCTGTACATTCCCAACCAAAACACATCACCAATCAACCTCTGGTGGTGAACTAATTAGTTTAACATAGTAATTGGTTGTAAAGAGAACTAGCTGACAGATGAATGAATGGTCTCCAATAAGGTCAAATAAGGCCTATCCTGTGAGTAGTAGTGTCAGTGTGTTCTGTCTTACTACTGTTTTGGCTCTCAGTAAGGCCTTGGACTCAGCACAGGCACCGTGAGAACAGGTGCATACTGCAAACAGATGTTTGTATTCCTTCTCTGTTAAGCTCAGTTAGACCCCTTGAGTTGATAAACATGATGAAAGCGCCCACAGAGAGAACAGGGGAGAGGGATAGAGAGTGGAAGAGGGATAGAGAGGGGAGAGAGGGATAGAGAGGGGAGAGAGGGATAGAGGGGGAAAAGGGATAGAGAGGGATAGAGGGATAGAGGGGGGGAGAGGGGGAAGAGGGATATAGAGGGATAGAGGGGGATAGAGAGGGAAGAGGGATAGAGAGGGGAGAGAGGGATAGAGGGGGAGAGAGGGATAGAGAGGGAGAGGGATATAGAGGTATAGAGGGGGAGAGAGGGGAGAGGGATATAGAGGTATAGAGGGGGAGAGAGGGGAGAGAGGGATATAGAGGGGAAAGTAGAATAGCTCAGTGTGTCTGAAATGACACCGATCAATGGTCAGTCAGATTGCAACACACACACACACACACACACACACACACACACACACACACAAACACACATACACACACACTGGTACTGTCTACACAGGTCAATAAACAGATAAGAGATGAGGCCAATGGCTACCAGTAAAATAGTGAGGACACAGGGCCTTCCCAACCCCATGGCTTTCTCTAGAGTTTCTGCTCATTCACTGATTTGAGGAATTTGGCATGTATTCAGGTACATCCTAGTTGCTAATTTCCCTGCATTCATAACTTTCCCAGAATGCTAGCATACATACTGTACAGTACCCAGTTAACAGGGCAATCATGGCACCCAGCCTCCCTCTGCTAGCCTCATGTGACAACAGAGAGCATAAGCTGCACACAGATGCACGCACGTACGAATGCATGCACACGTACAGACATTCGCACGCTCATTCCATGAAGCAGGCACAATGTACTTTGGCCACACACAGACGCTCGTGCCATAAAGATGGCACAATGCACATTGGCCAGGCTGTGTGTTGGGACTGCTGTTAGAAGGGCATTGTTGCTGGCCAGGCTTGCACTGGGCCTACAGCTCCAGGGGACTGGGGGGTGAGGGGGAGACTGAGAGAAGGCAGGCCCAACACAGGGGGCCTTGCACTGGGTGTCCCCTGAGCCAGAGTCCTTGACCAACCATAGTACAGTACACACTGACTGTGCTATACTGTGTGTGCTCTTTGAAAACAAGGGAGAATGTTAACATCCTATGTGTTATGATTTCCCTTGGACATCACTTAGTATTACTGGTCAGAAACATGGCCTGTTCATGTTTGTGTTTTTGCCTGTGTCCCGTGAGACAGTAGCCTAGCTAGGCTGAGAGGGTATACATGGATATTGACTGACAAGCAAAGCAACTCTGGGGTCTTGGAACTCTGGGCCCCATGGAAAAGTTGTAAGCAGGGGACGACTGCTGCACTGACTCCATGATGCAGTTAGAGTAGGCCTCACAGGGATAAACTACAATATAGAACTACATTATAGTCATTTAGCAGACTCTCTCATCCAGAGTGACTTACAGTAGTGAATGCATACATTTTCATACTTATTTTCTGTACTGGTCCCCCATGGGAATCGAACCCACAACCCTGGCGTTGCAAGCACCATGCACTACCAACTGAGCCACACGGGACCAACAACTAGAACTACATGTCGACCTACGAAAGGTATAAAAAGACAGGCTGTTATAGAAATAAAGGCTAATATCAATATGTGAAATGAACATTGGACTGTGTTTGTATGTCAGTGTGTTTGTGTGTTGATCCTGATCCATTACAGAGCTTGGTGGATCTCTCAGTCCAGGCAAATTTATATGGATTTCCTGGTGTCGATGGTTTGTATCTCAAATAGATGGTACAAAAAGGTTTAAATGGATCGCCCAAATGCTAAGAGATGTATTTTCTTTGGTAAAACCATGTCAATATGTTTGAGGTGGTGAGTGAAATATGGCTTGAATTCAAAACCCAATTGTACAAATATTGATAGTGAACTAACAGTCCTACTCCACATACTTGGGGGAAAACAGTCTCAATACCTCAATCATTTATGAGAGCCAGGCTGCCTGGTCACACGAATTTGGCAGCTGCATTTGTGTGGAGACAAAGTGAATGCCTCCAGGGTGAAACTGTGCCACTGCACGGCTCAGGATTAGAGCCCAAATGGCCTCTGGTTATATACGAATGGAGCCAACCAGGGGTATCAATGACATGGGAGCAGACTCGGTACAACATCCATATCCAAGCAGGCAAAGTGCAGCAATTCTGGCTGCGAAACTGTGGGTGCAGCATCCATTATGCTGATGTTGTTACTGGCTTAATGTAAAGTACCATACATAGGCAGCGGGTGAGTTTCGAGTTTGGGGAAGCTAATTTTAAAATAAAGCGTTCCATGCATCGTCGCATTTGAAGACTTATGTAATGTGATGAGTAGATTCTGTAATCATAATTTAGGCTAATAATATAATTCAATCACTGTTCGCAAACAAGATGCATATAGCGTAGAGTAGGCTATAGGCTATAGACTCTATCAGATACATTTCTTCTTTCTTTGCACAGGAAAATGTTTGTCTTTTAAAAAACACATCTCATGCAATTCTACTTAAGCAATAAGGCCCGAGGGGGTGTGCTATTTGGCCAATATACTACGGCTAAGGGCTGTTCTTAGGCACGAAGCAATGCTTTCGGCTAATCAGCATTCAGGGCTCGAACCACCCAGTTTATAATACACTTTATAAAACTGGAGATATTAGCAGAACCTTTTTAAAATACTACAAATTACATGGTAGCCTACGCTACTCTGCTGACACTGACAAACAGATCAATAAAAACAATGTTGTCTGATCTATATAATAGGCCTACGAGAAGGGGAGACACAAGTAGAATATGACGTCCACCTAAACTACAGGAGGAAATGATTGTCCAAAAACACACTTTTAAGTGGCACTGACTCAACAATGCTAAAGAGTGAATATGCGCAGTGTACTCACCGGGGATATGGCCGATGCTCTTTCCTTCTGACTGTAGGCAATGCGATTTAAAACAATCCACCTTTTTTTTTTTTTTAAGAAGCTACCGAACTTTGCCAAATCATGCTTTAGTAGCCTATTTTCAATGATTAAATGTATTTCTGTATAAACAGGAGTAGGCTAATTAGGCTATATCATTTTGGCAACTTAATTTACTTTAGGGAAAGCTTCTCCTAGCCTTATGGACGTGCCACCTATGGTACCATAAACAATTAAGAGCAGTGCTGTATACTGTACTTGTATCCCAGTGCAGTGTTTTGTGTTCTTGACTGGTGTAGGGTTTCTCTTTAGAGAGCGTCAGAACAGGAACGTGTGAATGAAAGAAAGAGGGAAAGAAAGAGAGAGACATCAAGACATAAAGAATATCCTACCAGCAAGATTAAGAAAAAGCTTCTCCCCAGTCATCTCTTTCACTCCTTCACCCTTTTCATCGACTCTACATTTACATTTTAGGCTAATATCCCGTGAGACTCTACTTCTCTCTTTCTGCCACTAATCCTCCACCCATCTCACTCCATTTTCCTCTCCATCTTGCTCTCTAATTGCCCTCGCTTTCTCAACCCTCCTTTCCCCACCACCCTGTCTGCCAGTTTATTCCCATTGCTCTGCCCTTGTCCTCATTCCTGTCTCTCTCTTGTCATTTTCTCTCTTTCTTGTCTCCTTCCTTCACTCTTATCTCCATCCCCTCCCCCACATCTCCTCAGACTCTCTGTCCCTTTCTTCTGTCCCTCTCCCTTAAAGGCGTCCGCATGCTTCCCATCCGAAACAGTTTGTGCATTTTATTTTTTATGTTTTTTGGTCTTCGGCAAGGTCTTTTTCGGCTGTTCGTGCACACAATTTTTTTTCCTGAGGCAAGCCGTAGTTCGGTAGCCGAAGTCTACGTCCCTTCGTCAGCGATTGGTCAAAAGTAGGAATTCTTCAATGAAGTGTTTGTCATTCAACGAGAGAAGATTCGTTTTCATGCAACCTTTTTGAGAAATACTGCACCAAAAATCTTAGATAAATGTCAAATTGAGCGACTAAGACATCCTCGGCAAAAACATCTAAATTAATTACAGATTTCTTGAGTTATCTTAGATCAATTCAGACTATTTTGAGGAAGTGTATACTGGCTATGGCATCTCAAGATTTCTTTCAAGCGGAGGTCTTTTAAGGGAGTATGTGAGGCACAGACGTTCACTCCGCCTAGCTGAGTTCTGCTAGGAGCAAACAAAACCTAGTCTGGAGACGTCTTTATTATCATTGAATGACAACAAACACTTCATTGAAGAATCCCTACTGTTGACCAATCACTGACGAAGAGGTGTAGACTTCAACTACCGAACTTCGGCTTACCTCGAGAAAATGTTTTATGTGCACGAACAGCCAAAACAAACCTTGCCATAGACCAAAACGTCACGAAATGTTGTCACAATATACAGTGAGGGAAAAAAGTATTTGATCCCCTGCTGATTTTGTACGTTTGCCCACTGACAAAGAAATGATCAGTCTATAATTTTATTGGTAGGTTTATTTGAACAGTGAGAGACAGAATAACAACAATAAAATCCAGAAAAACGCATGTCAAAAATGTTATAAATTGATTTGCATTTTAATGAGGGAAATAAGTATTTGACCACCTCTCAATCAGAAAGATTTCTGGCTCCCAGGTGTCTTTTATACAGGTAACGAGCTGAGATTAGGAGCACAGGTGCTCCTAATCTCAGCTTGTTACCTGTATAAAAGACATATGTCCACAGAAGCAATCAATCAATCAGATTCCAAACTCTCCACCATGGCCAAGACCAAAGAGCTCTCCAAGGATGTCAGGGACAAGATTGTAGACCTACACAAGGCTGGAATGGGCTACAAGACCATCGCCAAGCAGCTTGGTGAGAAGGTGACAACAGTTGGTGCGATTATTTGCAAATGGAAGAAACACAAAATAACTGTAAATCTCCCTCGGCCTGGGGCTCCATGCAAGATCTTACCTCTTGGAGTTGTAATGATCATGAGAACGGTGAGGAATCAGCCCAGAACTACACGGCAGCTGGGACCATAGTCACCAAGAAAACAATTGGTAGCACACTACGCCGTGAAGGACTGAAATCCTGCAGCGCCCGCAAGGTCCCCCTGCTCAAGAAAGCACATATACAGGCCCGTCTGAAGTTTGC